CCTGGGGAACGGACCCGGGTCGCCGCTGGGCCAGTGGCGGTGCAGTTTGGTGCGGCGCGTGTTCTCCCAGCGCCGAAGGCTCGGAAACGCGGCCGGGTAGAGCAGCAGCAGCAGCGGGCAGTGCAGGATGAAGGAAATATGGACGAGAAAACGGTGTCGTTGGGGTGTGTTGAAGCCGCACAGCGCCGACAGCAGCCACGTCACGCAGCTGAGAAGCGGCGATTGTAGCGTGGTGGGACTGTCAGGGGCACGAACCTGGGGTAAGGGAGGAGGGGATGCAGTTGGGGGTTGCTATGGCTTACCCACCTGTTCATGCTGATGGCGCAGAGGTTGAGGATGGAAGCGGTGCACAGCATCACGTCCATGGGCTTGAGCGCATCGCAGAGGCTGGAGCTCAGCCACCACACACCTCCCTGGACCTGGACGTCCATCAGCGGAGCAACAAGACAAGGGCCATTGACCATTCCCAACTATGGTCCCACCGGGCCTCAGCTCTCTAGGCAGCAGGCTTGCACCCTGGTGGTGCTGTAGGATAAGCGCTGGACTGCTAGACACCAGGTCAGCAGTTCAAACCTGGCTTCCATTTAGTGGGGCAAAGATGAGACTACCTCCACCCATGAGGGTGGGAGACCCCATAGCAGGTCCATGAGGACCCTGGGAGACCCCATACCGGGTCCATGAGGACCCCAGGAGACCCCATACAGGGCTCATATGGCTCAGCGTTAATTGGATGGCGGCCACTTTGGTTTGCTTTTGGTTTTGCAGGGACTGAGGGAAAGAGGAAGCAGAGCCCGGCTCAGTCAGGCCCCCAGGATGCAGTCCCAGCCCTGCACCCCGACCCCCAACTTAGCCTCCCCTTCCCAGGACACTTGGACCTCTGCTGACCCAGACTTGGGGTGTCCAAGGGCCACCTGGGCTTAGCTGAGGACATCCAGCCTGGAGCCTGTCCCGTCGCCCCAGTCTCCTCCTCTGAGCGATGCTAAGCGTCAGCCTGGCTGGGTAACTCACTCTCAGTTCTGGGACTTTGGACAAATTCCTTCACTTCTGTTTCCTGTCTGTAAAAGGAGGGTAAGAATAGTTCCCACGTCAGCTGTCCTGCTGATAATGAGTTAACAAATGTGAAGAGATCACGCATGGGGAGCCTGTGACCCCCACGGAAAAAGGAACAGACGGTCACTTCCTCTTGTAAATCCCCTCTCAGTGATTTGGGACGATTAGGAGCTTAAGTCATTACGGGGTGACATCTGTGTGTGGCCAGGAGAGGGAAGATCATGTATGTCCTTGTCCTCCTGGCCTTGGCCCAGCTCTAGCCTGGAATAGTGATGTCCATCTGAAAACTCCAGCTCCTCACCCCCACAAGCCAGAACAACACATTCCCAGGCTAGCCTTAAGCAACTTTTCTCCACCCAAACTCAGAGCAGCAAAGTGGACTCAGTACAGGCTAGGCCTGGTCTCGGGGTCCCTGAACCCCAGGGTTCTCAGCAGACGCTCAGACCCGCCCTACCCCGCCCCTCTCCTTGATTCTGGTGCCCCATCCAGATCACCCATCTGTCCCCTGCAGTGGCCACAAGTCTCCTATTCTGTGCTGAGTCCTTCCATGTGTGTGTCCCTCCCTGGCTGGGCCTCACTGGCTCTGTGCAGTGAGGTGTAGGTATTTGCCCACGTCAAGGCCCCTGGTGCTGCAGCTGCTGGCTCCTCTAGAAAGCTGGATCCAGCTGAGGACCAGGGTTCAGAGAGGGAGACGCTGGACTGACAAAGTGGCCTGTTCTTGGGGTCACTGGTGGGAAGGATTGAAGCTTTTCTTAGACAAGCAGAGGCTAAGATGGGAAGGAGAGAAGAGGGACGGACGGACCATGAGGTGGGGCTCCAGTGGCCCTTGCAGCTGCCCCAGTTCAAGATTCCTGAAAAGCCAAAGGGCTCCTCTCCCACCCCCAGCGAGCAGGTGGAGGCAGCGTGGCCCAGTGCCGGCTCACCTGGGAGTAGAAAAACAGCGGAAACACCAGGATGAAGTAGTTGGTGGGCGTCAGCAGGGAGCGCTCGGACAGAAGCCGATGCACAGAAGCGAGTTCCCCAGGAGCACCGCACCGATGAGGAGCACGTTCCCCTGCCAGAGCGGCTGCCGCCACCGCAGTCCCTGCGCCCGCCCTGTAACTCCACAGCAGCCTGGTCAAGTCCTCTGCGGTGCAGTTCCCCAAGGCACGC